AGATACCACAGCATCGAGCTTCTGTGCGGGATGGAAGGTTATGATGTGGTAAATTGAAGTGGTCATGAAATATATTTAGGTGTTTGAGAAATAAGTAAGTAATGAATTATTATTATAATTATAATTATTATAATTATTACTATTATTATTATTGTTATTATTAATATTATTATTATTATTACTATTATTATTATTATTATTATTATTATTATTATTATTATTATTATTATTATTATTATTATCATCATCATCATTATTATTATTATATAAAAAACTCTATAAACGAGTATGTTAATATTGATACCTGGGCTACAGGATAAAGTAAAATGAAACAGTTCTGGAGTTCTACTCAAATTGTAAGCAAAAAAGGACTTTTGAAACGAAAGTTTTTGGGGCTCCAAACTTTCCTTGCTTGTATTACTCAAAAAATTCCCTAGATTTCGACTATTTAAGACGAATATATTCCTTACAGCTGAAAAATAATATAATATAGGTTATACAATACAAATCGATGGCTATATAGTTAACATCCTTATACTCTCTAACTAAGGCAGGTGATTCACACGTATATTGCTAAAATGGAAATCATCCTATTTTCTGGAATACTCATTTTTATGTAGGAAATCAGAGAGGTAAAGCAAACAGGTTAATGAACAGCGAGATACTAGGAAGCAACACAGGGGCAGCACTGAGACACACCTACAAGATCTCGGACTTTAGATTTGCCTGGTGCTAAGTGAACGCCTTTAGTTAGGGTAGAATCTTAGTATAATTTCGATATTATTTTCTTTTTATGTTAATTTTGTGATGAAGCTTAAATCAGCCATTTAGGAGTTGTCTTATCTAATCACTTAGGAGCAACATTCATCGTGCAAGCCTTTGTGATGGAGCCTGAATACTGATTCCGCTGTTCAAGAGTTCGCCTGATGTCGTCACGTTGAGGCACAAAACCACTGAAATTTACTCCTACCCTAACCAGACAGACGCACCTCCTAAGTAACACAAACAATCCCACCGAGACAAACCCGTTCGTGAAGAAAATTGTCCCAGTCATACTTAGAACTTCATCAATGTTACCGAGAGTTCGCCTCTAAGACGTGAGTACTGTCTTATTACTTATTCTTAACTCCTCCCGAGACACTCACCTCAACCAGCAGGATACTCTCTCTGAGGTAACGTAATATATGTCAACAAAGTTTCAATTTCCCAAGATGTAACATCGTCCTGAGATTATCTTTCAAGACAGGATGACGTCAATAACTTCAAAAGATGCCTGGCCATCACCTGCCCCTCAGTGTGTGTGTATTCTCTGACGCAGTGTACCTGACAACCACTCAGTTGGGGATCATATTGATAGCCTGGAAAGATGGGAGACTATTTGTGTGGGATAACACGTGTAGTCTCGCCCCAACAACAGCTGTTATTGACAACAGTACCGCTAAAGAAGGTTAGGTAATTATGTTAGGTAATAGCAGTATTCAACGGAGATGAATAAAGCATAAAAATTACAAACTATAAAAAAGTAGGATCTAACCTGGTTTCCTAAATCTTATAGCATCCTCTGAAAAAAACAACATAAACTTTATTGCAAGAGTAATCACTCTTGATGGGAAGATGGCTGAGTGAAGTAAAACTAGGATAATAGCAGCAAAAATTAATATTAAAGAAATAGAACGATAAAAATACATAAGTCTGGAACAAGATTAGGAAAAACAATAACTCGACTCGTTCCTGAAAAAAATACCTTCATGGTTGCCGAAAATTAAGAGTAAAGTTTGAGAGGGAAGTTCTCTAATAGAACGAAACAGAAGAGGATATTGGATAATGTAAACAAGAAAGAGGATAACAGGGTAATATATTGTTTAAGTGTCAAGTGTGAGTCAGGACAACTACTATAACCCATGTATTTGATTGACTTGTCAAGAAACCCCTGTAGAATCACCAGTTACGCAGGATATAGAAGTTTTCAGAAGTGTGTAGCGAAGGAAGAGAAAAATCAGAAGTGGGGGGTATGAGAGAGAGAGAGAGAGAGAGAGAGAGAGAGAGAGAGAGAGAGAGAGAGAGAGAGAGAGAGAGAGAGAAACGTGAAGCAGTCATGCTGGGGTTTATGTGCTTAGAGTCGGCACCAAGATAGATATCCTCGGGCCTTGTTATGCAGGAGGCACATCACACCAGAACACAATCTATTATGGGACAATGTGTTAAACTTGATCTACACTTCCCTGTACCATGTTACAGTAGAGAGTAATGGATGAGAGAGAGAAAAAAAGCGAAAGATAAACTGATAACTGAGAAAAAAGCCAAACAGACGACACAGGGAAGAAAGGTAACCACAACCTGCCCGAGACTCCACCACCGCTTATATATTTTATGTAAATTTTATATTGTTGCTGCAAATTTATGGGTTTTATATTGACTTCGATCTTACGATATATTTTATAGTCGTTTCATTAAATGATTCATGGAGGTACAAGAACTCACTTGTTTCCCAAGTCTAAGTCATACAGTACAGTATATTAAGAAACACTCTCCAGTGTATTCACTAACGTCTTCTGGGATATGGAAGCCGGAACAGATCCCGCGAAATATATTAGATAAATACTGGGAAGATGTAATATATACAGTATAAGCACTATTGTTGTTGTGTTGCGGCGAAAAGACGGGAAGTGTGTTGTATCCCTTCTTCTTCTTCTTCTTCTTCTTCTTCTTCTTCTTCTTCTTCTTCTTCTTCTTCTTCTTCTTCTACGTTGTTCCTTCAATTTTTAAGTCAATTAAGTTGAAGCTTGCCAGCAGATAAGTGTTCTGGCTTCATGTTTCATCAAGTGTGAAAAATAACAGTGGTCAGCTTGAGGTGTATATCAAAACTATATCTCCGTATTAGATATTACTTTCCAGACAATGGTATTTAAAACTGCCGAGGGGAAATTAATCATAAAGATGTGCTTCCAGACACAGCCAACACAGCCAACATCATCAGATATAAGTTAGGAGAAAAGAGATTCTGTCACACGGACAATGTCAGACGTCTGAACTCCGTTTTTTTTAACCTAGCATTATGTAAATGTTTAAACATTTAAGTGAAACATCTAAGAGATACACTTTATGTTAATGAATATTCTGTTTGAGATCTGCATAATGTTGCGAGCTGCCTTATGTATGATCCTGACATTTCCGACCATCCATCTCTCCAGCTTCCTCTATGCGGAAGACACAAAACCGTATGTTATAGTTGCTGATGACCAGACACTGTATGAGTCAAGATCCAAACCATTTATTCTCTTCAACAGTATCATCAAGATATACATTTATATCTTTAAATAAAGATAGAATCTTAAATATATGTATAATCTATTACATTCAAGAAGTCTTAATAATCAAACCAACGAACTAGATTAATAGCTTGTTACAATAATTCACGGTAGATAAGTGTTATATCCATTCCATTATGCTGGCAACAAGACAATATAATATCGTGGCAGAGGAAAATATTTTCATATTCGAGAAGTAATGAGAGCCCTTGCGGCTTCACGTCTTTAGTATACTACTATATTGCCTTTCAAATTCCTGATGCCAAGCGTTTGGTCGTGACAGCTGGCAGTCTCTACAACAACATTTTATTGCTTTAATCATTCCAACGATTTTTTTTCAAATACCGTGTAATAAAATTGAAGGATTATGACTGATTTATACTTAGAAGTAATTTAGTGAAATGAGATTAGTCTTCAATACAGTGACGTGGCCGCTGTTGGGTTAACTCACCTTCTGGGCAGGACACTCTCCCATCTGATAGTGTACTCACTTTATGACTGAGTGTACAGTACAGTGCAAGGATACAACCCAGTCCTCCACTCCGTCCTGGATTGCGAGGTTAAAACTCAACCACAATGGTATTTTCATCTCGATCCCTGAAACGACTATGAAAGACTTCAGTAACCAACCTTTGTACTGCAACCGATGGGATGGTAGTCAGCACACTGCACACTACAGCCTAGGTTCAACTTCCTGCCGAGGATTTTTGTTTTTGCTTTTTTTGTTTTATAACGGGGATTAGCTCACCCGGGAACAGGTCACTGACCCACATCGGGGCCTTCGGGGGATAATAATAATAATAATAATAATAATAATAATAATAATAATAATAATAATAATAATAATAATAATAATAATAATAATAATAATAATAATAATAATAATAATAATAATAATAATAATAATAATAATAATAATAATAATAATAATAATAATAATAATAATAATAATAATAATAATAATAATAATAATAATAATAATAATAAATAAATAATAATAATAATAATAATAATAATAATAATAATAATAATAATAATAATAATAATAATAATAATAATAACAATAATAACAATAATAATAATAATAATAATAATAATAATAATAATAATAATAATAATAATAATAATAATAATAATAATTCATAGTAAATACAAAATTTAATAAAAATACAAAAATTTAAAATAAAATAATAAAATAATAATGATAATATTGACAATAACAACACTGTAATAATAATAATAATAAAGAACCATAAAGAAATAACAAAAAACTAAAAGTAAATCAATATTGAGAAACAATATATGTATGTTGTGTTGTCAAAGTAAGAGACAATTGAAACCCTGCAAGTGTGTGTAAATGAGGCAGAAAGTCAGATCAGCAACCTGGGACTTGATCACAATTTTCGTGATGCCATATAGCAGCAGGGTCTATCCATTAGACAACACATTAAGCTTCCAATATCTTCCCAATGTGGCTTATTAATTTTATAAATTAGTTCTTGTAATGCAGTTAATAATAAATGTCTGTCACTAATGATATGTGATAAAACCCTTTATTGCTGTAAATATATGTAAACAAAAGTAATAATGATAATTATACTTATACTAGTACTACTACTACTACTACTAATAATAATAATATATTATACTCAACAATACTGTATATTGATAATTATGAATTTTCCTCTCCAGGTTATCCAGACACAGTAACTGCCGTGAGTTTGTGTACAATCTGAAGACGCCAGTGACTAGATTAACTGACTAGAACAACAGAACTTCCCAGTACCAAATACAGTACAGTGTACCTCTCACCCATGTACGTACAGTACCTACATACGTGAGATATATGACACAGAAATATATATAAATTATATATGCTCTTCTCAGGTGAAATACAATATAAAAAACTGATTAAGAATTCAAGTATTATGTGTATCTCAGGAAAGAAATTAAAACTGTTAAAGAGTGAAGAAGTAAAGTGAGAATTTGAACCTGAGGATGTGTCGCTTATAGTACTAGACGGTGTGGACCAACATGGTGAGAATCTTTCGTACCTCCTGCTGCTGCCGTCCATTTCTCTGGCTCTTCCTCTGCTGTTGTCTGGGTAAGTCTCTCTCTCTCTCTCTCTCTCTCTCTCTCTCTCTCTCTCTCTCTCTCTCTCTCTCTCATTTTTACTAGGATTTTAGTTCTACCATAGTAAGACTACAGTACAGTACGCACTTGTAAATTTCGTATAATAATATTGGATTGGATTTTACACATTACACTTTGTCCCGTGTTATTGACCTACCAAAGAACTTCATGGAGTCTACAGTACATCACTGACTGACTTAAGTACTCTGAAGGTGGTACTTACATTTATGTATCATAAGTTTTTGACTATGTTGTATGAGTGTTTGGTGTGTGAGATAAATTTGTTAAGATAAGGAGGATGCAGGTTTATACAACAAGAGACCGTGTTACCAGCGAGGAAATTCGAGAGAGAAATTTGAAATAAGGAGAGGAAAGGGGGGAGGCAGTGGGTGAATGGAAATGTTGACAGAATGAGAGTGGAAAGGTTCGAGAGAGGGAAAAGTAAATGGATGTGGAAGGAAGTAGACCAAAAAGACCATAAAATAAAAAGGAAGTAGGTGGGTAAGGAAAAATGTGTATTGAGATAGAAGGAGAAGAGGAGATATAATTGTAAAAAAAATAAGATAGAATTGTTTTATACAGTTATAATTATATATACATCCATGCATACACACACACATACATTTGCATACCTCATCCAATTTCTCTTCTATGCATTTGGAATATTAAATTAAAACTTTTCTCATGAACCTGCATTTGGGGAGCGTGTCGTGTTTACAGTGGATGGCTCCCATGGTGGGTCGCTGCACGCACTTTATCTCGTTAAAATGTAAAGGTCAACATATGTGCCCCTTTCATTACTCCAACCAACTGAAAGAAATATTAAAAATTAATTACGAATTTCCATGTGTTCATATCAATGTTATCGGAAGTGAAATATTCCCTTTAGTCACCAGTGGACGAGAGGGGGGGAGGGGGCAGGTATACAATCATGTACTAAGTATGACGAGTCTTTAATCCTCAAAATAGGTAAAAAAAAAATTCTTGTCTCGTATTGGTTGTATTGCCACGTAAAGATATGAGATATTCTTATTATATACTTTATAAATCCTCAATGAAAGACACTTAACAAAAAAGCAGCTGTTTTTCTTTACGCGATAAAGTTTATTTACAAAAATAAAATAACCACAAGTGTTAGTTTTTATACCAGATAACAACACTGCAATGTTCTATATGTAAGGTAGGGGTCAAGGATGAATGTGTCACAGTAAAAATTTCAGAATAACAGTTAAACCCATAAATAAAAACTTTCCAAATACAAATTCACAAGTTTTCAAGATCATCTCTCATAATTTTCAAATGCAGCATTAAGTTAGCCGGAGTCTTTGATACCAAGAAGAGAAAAAGAGCTGAGAGATAGAGAAAGAAAGAGATCAGAGAGACAAAGAGGGAAACGAAGGAAGAAGGGAAAGAGGTTATAAAGAGAGGGAAGGGAAGAGGCAAAGGAGAGAGAGAGAGAGAGAGAGAGAGAGAGAGAGAGAGAGAGAGAGAGAGAGAGAGAGAGTCGAAGAAATATATGATAAGAAATATTGGTGAGAAATACAGCCACGAACTTTGGAGTGAATTGTATTGACCTTTTGAAGTGATGGTGCTCGTGTTGGGTATGGATGAGAAGGAGGAAGAGGAGGGTGAGGAAGGGGAGGGTGAGGAGGAGGAGGGTGAGGAGGAGGAGGGTGAGGAGGAGGGGGGTGAGAAGGAGGAAGAGAAGGAGTGGAGGAGCAGGACGATAAAAGAGTTGGGGGTATAATACATAATAAGGGAAGGTGAACGAAATAAAAGAGAAAACATTCAATTGTCCGGATTTTGGATATTCAAGGTTGTTATGAAGCATTACGACACAGCTTAATGATATTGTTTTTCTAACGCTCGTTCTCTCTAGTCCTATTCCGTCCTTATAACGTTAAATGCTGTTATTATCTTCGAGATCACTGGACAATATTATCATTATTTTTCATCGGATATCTTATTTGTTTTGGGCCAATAACAAATAGATATAACAAAGAAGGCAAACAGCCGCTGACAGTAGTAACTAAGAAAATGTTTGTTCGAAAAATGAGAGACATATTTAGGGAGAAAATAAAGATAGTGTCTGAAGATGAGAGGAATGAACACTAGACACATTTTGGCAGTGTGTTTAGGATGTCAAAGATGTGTAGTAATAATGTGCAGGAGTATACGCTTGAGAATTCTGTTGTTTTCAAGTACAAGGATGACTGATGGAGATCTGCCAGAATATTGACAACTAATTACAGAACAGAGAAGGGAATACAACAGGATATGAAGGCAAGAAAGATGTAGCTGAAATCCCGAACGTTGATAAAACTTTTGATTGGATTTTTTCGAGAGGGATTACGTAGGATTTGGAGATTCATCCCTAACTTGTAGGAGTTGTCCATAAAATACGTGAGTCACACGGTACTGTACCATTCTGGATTTGTAATTAGGCTTATTGTTTTTTTGTTTTTGTTTTTTATCTCCAACATGAACCACCATCACACCCATCACAACCAATAATACCATTACTAATGCTACCATCTCTACTGCCATCAACAACAATTGCCACTCCAACTACCACCACTAGTATAATAACCACTATTAGCATTTTCACGTAACTCCCTCCACATATTATCATAACACACACACACACACACACACACACACACACACACACACGCAGCTGGCCAGGTTGTGGAGGCAATTTTCCCAGATGTTTTATTTGGACACATTTGCTCGATTTTACGGGCATCGACGAGCTCTGGAAGCACCTGTGATTGTGTCGGTCTCCATTTAATGTACCAGTATGTATGTATGTATGTATGTATGTATGTATGTATGTATGTATGTATGTATGTATGTATGTATGTGAGATAACAGGTACAGACACAATACCTTGAGAGAAAGTGATTAGCCATTGGTTTATGAAGGCGTTAATCTCTCGTCACTAAAGGGATAAATCATCATCCTAAAAGGGTTATTTAATCTACGGTTGATTCTTCTACCTCTAAATTCCTCTCCCCTTCCTCCCGTTCCACCACATCCCTTCCATTTCCCTTTCACATCCCTTTCCTCCTCTACACCTTTTCCACCCTTTCAAAATTCCTTCCTTCCTTCCTTCCTTCCTTCCTTCCTTCCTTAATCCCTCATATCACCATCCTTCTACATAACTCTATCCTTCCATCCTCTTTCGTTCTAATCTCCATCCTTCCTCCATTTCACCCTGTTCCCTACAACCTCTCTTCTTCCGTTTACCTTCCCTCCTTAAAATCTCACCTTCTCTTTCCCTTGTCTTACTTCCGTTCACTTCTCTCTCTTTCTTTCTCCTTCACTCTCCTCCTTCTCTACCTCCTTCAAATCTTTCCTTCCTTCCTCAATTCGCCATCAAATTGAGGTGAACTAAATGCAGATATAATAGACTAAAGTCACTAAACGAAAAGTAAAAAATATTTTAGTTTTAAAATTTACCTTAAAAGTTTATGAAAAATATAATGATATAACTTTCTACATTAATCTGCTTACTCGAGCACAAAATACTCCTTCCATTTTCCGGAATCTAATTTACTTTCCGGAATGAAATGAAGAAGTAAATTTAATAATAGTTTTATAAATGATGAAAAAAAAGAAGACTAAATATACGATTAAAAAAGATATGTTCGAGGAACCTTCAGCGTGACAGGTTATATGCAAATTAGAAGTGAATTTATGATGGTTGACAGTGGCTTTATAGTAGATCATAATTAACCTCTATACACAGCATCATTAACGTGTGTCGCTTTCCCTTGTCGCTGTCTGTGATACTACCGCTATCCATTGACTTTCTCTTTCAAAACTATCATATTTTGTCTCAGAATCGTGCCATATTGTCTAAGTACACTGTAATATTGTTTCAGCACACTGGCATATTTTCTCATAATACTGCAATAAGCCTTCTAAGAGACCCTATTATCTTCTATGAAACTTGTCACACTGATCCTTGTAGGATTCAATTATGGTAGACCAACAAACAGGTCGAGGAAGTAACGATATTAAGAATGTAATTTATCCTGAATAACACAGCTTCAATCATAGTAATCTGTACTTAATATTGGGATGTGTAGTTGTGCTGATATTACTGTATTAAGTTTATTAAAGTGAGACAATTTCTAAGAAGTGTTGTGCCCTCTGGAATGGTATTGTGTGGGTGAAGCAGCCCAAGAATACAATCTGTTGGAGTGGTTGGTGTGCACGTACACAGCCGTTCAAGCAAGTCGTCAAGCATGTTCACCTTGGCTGAGTGTCTGTTTACTGTGTGGCTCCTGGGAGTATATCCAAGTCTTTACCTCACCTGTCCTGGCAGGGAAGACAAGGGATGATAAGTAATCAGTAACCATTACGTAAAATCTATAATAATAAAAGAACATCTGTCTCTTCCAGAAATAGCTCCTAAACGGAAACAGTTAGAGACCTGACACTTTATGCATATATTACATGGGTCCCCAGGCTGTGCACCTTAGTATTACCTTTGACCACGGACCCCAGGGTGGTCCGGGCAAGACCCAAAAATCTTCCCCGACTGAGATGTCATGTCCTAAGTATGATTTCTGTGGCGCTAACAACTTCCTAAGACATGCACATGCACTTGCACATATAAAGTGCAAGTATAGTGCTCACAGAAGACGTAAGACGAGAAGATGGACCCACATCCCTCACACCTGGTCCACCTCAGCTACACGTCCAGACACCTGAGGACGTCTGAGATGCCGTTGACACTTGCAAGCCTTATGGCACTCCGGAGTAAACAGGGAGGTCAGTCAGGCACCTTGGCACTACCTCGTGTCGTCCTACAGTCAATAATTGGAAATTAAAAAAAATCAGAAATCACAATAATGAGCTTTGTTTGAGCCGATTGTCAGTGTTTACAAAAACAGCTGTAACGATTATAATCGTTACAGATAGATAATTATCTATCAGCTTAAACCTCAACTACACTTATTATGTGACTGTGTTGATTTAATTATCGGTTGACTTTTTCACACTTCTCTTCTTCTACTATTATTGTTGTTGTAATTATTATTTTATATTATTTAATTTATTTACTATTGTTATTAGAAAATGCACATTATAAAAATATACATACTGTACAGTATAAAAAGTTTTATTAAAATTTCATTCTATACAATATATGGTTAAGTATAGGAGAAGGTTAATATGACACAGAGTAAAAAAAATATGACCAGCTTTTACTGAAGGAGCATTTAAATAAGAGACCAGTTGTCGGGTGGGGAAGATAACATGAGGTCAAGTGTTAATAAACTCCCAGAGCTGAGAGTTTAATTGTCACAGTACACGAAAAAGAAAATTTCTGTTGTTTGAAAATACAATGAAACTTAATCTGTTTGGAACTGTAAGTATTACTGTATATGTTCAGTTATTGCATAATAAAAAGAATAAATGATAAGATTAAAATTTCACTTCCTGAAATGTGGAAGAAATTGAAATTCAGTTATTGGGCAGAGTACAGCATAGATAAAATATTAATATTTAAAATTGCATGGCATTGCACTGTTACTATGTGAAACTAAAATTATCTAGACATTGAGAGAAAGGCAAAACTATGTCCTCTTGGTCCAAACAACTTTATCATCCTCAGCTCACAGAGAAGCTTGTTGACTTAAGGTGAAGCGACGTGGTTACCATGACAATAGGGTTCAGTTATTTCTTTGGTAATCAGTAGTGAGAAATATATCATTAATGTGTGAGAAGGTTGGATGAGGTGAAAAGCGTTTGATTAAAAAGACAACAATTTCACCCACATAGGTTGCTCGCTTCACAGTATTGACACGTGTTCGATAGCTAGCGATACACAGAGATTGTTCTGGTGTTTTACAGGTACGGGCGCTGGCGGCAAATGGAGAGGTCCTCAGCCGGAGTTCGGAGAGGCAGAGAACACGGTGAAAGTCCAGGAGGGTCAGACTGCCCGGCTGCCTTGTGTTGTGTTACATCTTAACGACAGGGCGGTGAGTGTTGTTTTGTGTGGTATAGTCCTCAAAAACAGGAATCTCTATGGCATGGTGGTAAGTAATATCTACTATATAAAAAGTCCCGTTTCATCTACAAGAGCACACTGAAAATCACCAAGTATGTTTACCGGTTCTATAAACAGTATTTAAAAATTTTAGAGAGTACGTTTGTCTGTGCCATAACCGCCTGAAGTCACGGGTTATTCCTCCAAACAGTGATATTATATTTTCCAATGGTTATCTTTAAGAAATTTATTGTTTTTAGTGTAGGTCAGGTATACGGGTAATGGTAAGGAGCATTTTCTTTACCTTCAGGATAGTGAGGTGAAGTGTTGGTTCCGTCACCTTCAACAAAACCTGATATATTACCTTTAAGTTTGTGCCTTTTACTGAGATAAAACTAAACCATATAAGGACGATGGTAAAGCGGGAAGGAGACGAAACAGTTTTGATGCTCACTCGTGTCGGTACAACTGACACGTCTCACACAGTTATTTGTTGAGGAAATTAACCGGTCAGTACAGAAACTTGAAGCAGACAGGTAGTCGTCCGCCAGTTGCCGCCAGCTGTTGCACAAGTTGAATACACTTCACCTTTGAAGTGTTCGAGGGAACTGCGGCATTGTTATGGTTTGTTCGGAGGTAATCGAGTTTCACGGAACAATAACCAAGCATCTTATAAGGACCAACAACACGTTAAAATTATTGATACTCATATAATTCTAACGTTGTAGATATTTCACTCTTTGTCGACTTTTGTTTTATCGGAGACTCTAAAGTTAAATTTTAGGAGCTTTTATTGGAGACGACTGAATCATATTCCTGATGAAATACTAATATGATGAATTTAACATCACTTAGTTAAAAGATTCAACCATTCCTCGCTGGAGTTCATTGTTTGTTGGTAGTTGTGGATGTTCTTGTTCTCCCTCATAGTGGAAATTATACTATGTATTTATTTCAATTCAACTTTCATTCATATTTTGCGGAAAGTTAAACACGTGTTAGCTTAAATCTGGGATAGTTTATTACACTACATTTTCCATTTATAAAGGGAGGTATTTTATAATCTTTCACATCAAAATATGTTAGACTGTGTCATAAGTATGGTGTCCTGCTAGACTCTATTCCAGTGGTAAGAATCGTGTCGACAATACCTGGAGCTTCTAATAGGATCGTAGCTGGTTATAGGTATTTAGTAATCAGTATCCAGGAGTATCGCTTAAGCTAGAGCTGATACTGTACAAGGTATCTATACATCCTCTAGTTTATTTCGGTCTTACACTCCTCACTGTTCTGTTGAGACAAAGAGATGAAGCGACCATAAAACTAACTATTGTTCTCGAGGTGAAACCCTTCAGAAATAATAGCAGTAGCAATATAGTTAGCTCTGGGCTTAGAGTAATTGCTCTTAATAACCAACACACACACACATGTCTGCTGCCGACTCTAACGAACAGGGCAACTGAGCCAGGAAAGATTAGTACGACTGTTATGGAGTTTGCTTTATTCAGTCAGTGATCAGTGAGTGGAAGAGGTGAACCCATTATGGTGGTACATGGAAAATGGAGTCTCCTGGTTACTCTTTCCTTGTGTCCAGGAGTGGTAGATAGATGGAGGTTTTATCAGGACGCACCATATGCAACCTGAGGCTCAAGGTTACTCACGGTTATTATTATTATATAGAGTCTAGGGGTGGAAGACAGACGCCCCGTGACAAGATGATAAGAACACATGTAAATATCAGCCTGGGCCGGTATACACAAAACTTTTCTGCTAATGACATAATAGTTCTGTTAGCTAGCAGTAAAATTTAAAAGTTATACACAAAGCTTAACTAGCAAAATTTTACCGCACAAATAGTTGTTTGTTAAGTACAGCTAAGCAGCGCTAAGATAGCAGGAGTTCATCATATAAAATGGTCTTATGGGTTTTTCTTGCCGTGCTGCTTGTAAACAAACGTGTTATAGAAGGAGTGGACAAGTTGAACATCACGGAAATGGAAGTCTCAACCCCACGAAAGACAAAGAAGCCCAACTGGACAGCAGACCAGACTTTATTATTGGTGGAGGTCATTGAAGAAAAAAAGTTAATATTGAATGACCGTTTCAAGCCTTTCTTTAATAATAAAGACAAAAAGAGGGCATAACTGGAAATCACCATTGCTGCGTTTCCTGGTGAGGTGAGGTCAATGGCAGAGTGTGAGACACTCTGGTTCTCAGTAATGTCAAAATCAGGTTTATTTATTCATTTATTTTTTTACTAGGCCAATGGTATTTCTGTGAAATCCGTTCTGTGGCATTTTTATATTGATAATTATGTCATGAGATAACCCCTAACCCCAATAGAGGCATTTGCAAGAAAAATGCCACTAAAATTGTGGCAGCTGATGCCATATTCCTCCCAGTTCTACTTTGTAGTTCCCCTCACTAAATCAGTTACTGCCATGATACCTGCACGGTCCAGTCGGTTTCGCATCATGAGTTCAGAATCACTATACAGTATTCATTAAATATATATCTCCTTTCCTGATAAATGTGTTGCCGCCGTTGATGTTGTTGTTGGTTCGCCGTGGTAACAACTAACAGACGACTATTACGCTACTTAAAAGTGCTCCCGGGGTCTTTTAATTTAACAGTACTATTAAGGCCCTTAAAAGTTTTGTGTACGTACTATTAGTGCTTAACAGAAAAATGTCAGCCTTAACAACTGTTTGCAAGCACTTAAAAGTTTTGCAGGTTATCAATCTCACTAAATAATGTAGGTACTCCTCTTCCTACTAATCCTCCCCTTGTAACCTCAATTGTATCACGACCAGGCATATTCTTCTCTTTTCAAATTTCAATATATTTAAACTCGTTCCCAAATTCCTTTACTGTCTCATATCTTTCGTCAATCCCTCCCTCCACCCCCTCAAAAAATTGACACCAATCCATAATCACCTTGAGAGCTTTTAAATATTTTTCCTATCATGACAATTACTTCCCTGATCACACGTATTAACTTAGTGACCAGTAGTAGATCATTACTACCAGGAAGGAACCACCCATGAGACCGACCACTGGCGAGAATAACCACGAATGAGTCAGATTTAATTTAAGCTCGTAGCCTGAAAAAAAAAAATTGCGGCAGCACGGGCTGTCAACATCGCCTGGTATTCCTCTTCACCTCAAAGTTGAATTTTTATGGCAGGTATTTTTCTGCCTATTGTGAAGCTCTTTAGTGGCTGGGAAATTAGACTCGTGTATCAGACGAGGCGCTGGCATGTTAAGTGTTTTTTTGTGTGTGTGTGTGTGTGTCCATAGTCTCTTGTACGTTCCGTGACGTGTTTTTCCGCCTAAGGAGAGAGATAAAAAGTTTGAGCTGTATGATGTAAGGAGGGACCAGCCCAGTACTTGGTGGTGAGTGGTATTCGTAGATATCAGTGACAGAATAATGGATGACGTCCTTATTCCAAATAGTATTAGCTGGAGAAGAGAGAGAGAGAGAGATATACAGTTAAGGGACTCCCGCAAAGTTTCAACACTACCTTCTTCACATTTCAGTTCCTTTTATATCATGTTTTCCTCATTTTCCTTATTTTCTTTCTTCTGTATGCCTAAAAATCTTTCTTCTCCTTCCCTCTGACTACCTTCCTGTCTCTCCCGTCTTGTTGATAACGTGGGATGGTCCGAGACTAAAGTTTATTATGTAAATAACTTAATCTTTCCTTCCAGCAACCAAATTAGGGGGATTTTGTATCAGGAAGGTAATCGGTGGGTGTGTGGGAGTGTGTGGAAGGGAGGTTCTCTCGATATTTAGGGGAATAATGTTTACTTTTACGTAACCCAGTATTGACAAAGGCTGAATTAAACCACAGTATAACTTAGTTTTATATGACTGTCTTCGTAAAATCTATATATTGTGTCTGTTGTGTTGATTAGTTGAATACATATATTTATTCTGAATTATCTCCATAACACAAACACCTTCGTGGACGTTAATAGTATCATGTATACTATCGTAGGTGACGTGGCTGAGACGACGAGACCTTCACATCCTCACTACCGGCCATCACACTTACTCTGCTGACGACCGATTCCAGGTAGGTCTCTCTCAGTCTCTCACGTACACACACAAACACAAACATTGGTAAATTGAAACAACAAATTTACATAGGCAACATACAGAACAAAATTACTTGTAATCACAAAATCTCATAATCAAATACATGCAATTTTGTTCCGTATGTTGGTTGTGTGAAATTTGATTTGTCATTGTTTCCAAAAGTTAAGGTTTTAAGTTTTAGCCTTTTACTGTATTACGAATATGTACAATTATAAGGGCACGAGACTGGAACAACACCTAGATATATTAAATATATACAAGAGAAACAAGACCCAGCGATTACAGTGTGTATCAGAGCTGAGCATCATAACCGGACGCTTCCAGCTACCAGTGATACAACACACTGCAGGAAAATTATATGAAAACCTTCGAGAGTAACACACACACACACACACACACACACACACACACGCGCGCGCGCGCGCTCTTATCCCCCCCGACACATATCAGGATAACCTTTTATTTACCTTCAAGAAGCCACTAACCCCTTAATGACGCAGTGAACCCAATACTCCACTAACTACCCTACGGTGCTGTGCATTGTAATGGCACAATAATACTCAGGTAACATGTGAACTATTATACATGGTGCAATAACTCTTAGGCTGTCCATTAACTTCAGGAGTAATCAACACACCGGTAGTACCACAAACTCGAGGTTCTTCACTTACTACCGTTCATCACGTAGTCAAGACGCTTCTACACAAAGACGTGGTGGGGTGTTTGGGGGTGAGTGAGTTCGGTATTGTCTCCTGCAGCTTGGGTAAAACCTTAGGAGGCATAATATAAGCTTGTTCCTCTAGACAGGTCATGATAGAGAGGCAAGAAGTCGCTGCTAGTTACCAAAGTCATTCGCTGTATAACCTCTTATAGACGCTGAGGTAAGGATACCCACAAAAGTCCTGTCGTTTCTCCTGAACCACGAATCCCGAGATTTAGACTTATGAACCCGAAGCAGTAGACACTGATGCATTATTCTGTCCTTAAATGCTTCGGGTTCACAAGTCTGAATCTCGGGGTTCGTGTTTCAGGAAGAAAGAAGACAAGACTTTTGTGGGTCACTGCAGACAATGGTGTGGTATCCTCCCCCAGGTGGTCCACAGCCCCGGCAGCGATCAGTGGACGCTGGTGGTGACCTACGCCCAGTTGAGAGACTCCGGCATCTACGAGTGTCAGGTTAATACTGACCCTAAAATCTTCAGGCCAGTCACACTCAACGTCTTCGGTGAGTAGTGTGTGTGTGTGTATGTGTTGGGGGCAGTGGTGATATACAGTGATGATGGTGAACAGTGATGATGGTGAACAGTGGTGGTGGTGGTGTACAGTGGTGGTGATGGTGTAGCGGTAAAACAAACATAAAATATATTAAGAATGAAAGATAGCCTAACACGGAAAAAGCTCGCGTATCTTTCCGCTTGATTCATAATGACAATGAAAAGTTAAAACAAGTAATTTAGGTGTAGGACTGCGGCAGTGTTGTAAGGCTTGGGGTAATACGCTTCAGGTGTGCCACAATGAGACGTGGGTCTGGCATAGCACGTAGCACGAGGCATTATAAGAGCTGGGGAGTTGAGCAGAGCCCATCTTGTGATTGCTCTAAAATCATAAAAGCAAGTTGAGGTACCAGGAACATGCTATTATGGAAATTTTTGATATTTGAAGTTATATATATATTTGGTTGTGGGACTTCCTCCCGCGAGAAGTTTCTTACGTATATCGAAACATTTCGAGAAATCTCTTATAAGTTCAGTCGTTATTGTTGATATCAATATTCGTATTGATTCTGACCCATTGTGTATAAATGTCAGCTGAGCGAAGCGAGTTGAAAAAAAGAGTAAGCCTAGAACCAGTGGCAAGTAAGATACAAGGTATCATGATCATTGACATATACTTGATAACAATAAAGCTGAATAGATGGATAAAATTACTGTGTGAGTTTGTCTCTTGGTAAACAAATATAATATGATATAGACCATTGCTTCTCCTGGGATAAAGACGTCTGCAGCTTTTGACAGGTGATAAAACGCTGGTGCTTGATATAACAAGTTGTAGGAGGCATTTTTTCCGAATTCATGACAGAAAATGACTGGATACATCAGCTGGGCCTTCTATTACAAATGATGGAAGGAGGAACAGTTGTAGACATTTACTGTGAATTATTCTTTGTTGCTAGAGAATGACAGAGGGGGGGGGGTCCTGTCGACTTCTGGGAGTGGTTGGTGACTCAGATAGAATTCATAAACTCCCCAGAGTCTGATCTGCTTCCGAATTCTTGCCTCGTTTTCCATGAGAAACACAACAACTTTCCAGGTGATAGCGAGATGGAGTTATTTATCCTGCAAGACTAAAATTTTCATTTTCCTTAAACTTTTGAGTCATAAAGGGAGATTTGTGGCTGAAAGTTTTCGTAAAGTCTGTTTTTTCATGTAGTCCTCAAGATTACGTTCAGGGGGGGGGGGAGTGGTTACGCTTGGATGGACAACAAAGTTTCTGTTGAAGAAGTTTTCGTGCTTTGTGTATCAGTGAAGGGTTCAGTCTGTCTGTGTGTTATTGTTGTTGTGTCTCGGTCTTGGACTTCAGTATTAGCTTTTATATTATGTATCACATATTCATCTTATACTTTGGTTAAAGTAATAGTCAGTCTCCTGGTTTTGGGATAATAATGATTTTAATTAAATTTCTATTTCAAATTCTGTCTTTATTTCAGCCCCTGATGACGATGGAACAACAAAAGCCCCAAAAGGTAAGAAATCCCCCCGTATATCCCTAGGCTCGCTAATTAATTATTGATGATTGCAAAATAGTGATAATCTCTAAGTACTTTTCGTTTTAAGAAAATTCTAACTCGTCTGTATATAGGGCCGAAATACATACAAAATTAGATAATTTTCGTAAGTATTCCTTTTTAGTGTGTGTGTGTGTGTGTGTGATAATAATAATAATTAACGGTTTATTGAAAGAGCATGGCAGCCGGAAGGCTCAAAATATACAAAGAACAGAGATGATAAGTTACATATGGTTAAATAAGGGAGTGGGTCACTTGATTGATAAAAGCTTTCTACACAAAAAAATATAAGAAACATAGAGTCAACATATAGATTAACTACAGATCTGGTACTGTGGAAGCTGGTCTTGTAAATATTCTTGTGACCTGATAATGGCACCAAAAAGTCCCTCTCACTGTTCGGATGGCCGTCGTACCTGGGTGCTAAGCCGCTACCTCACTACAGCTGTAGATGTTTAGGACATCCACCACGTGGTCGGGGTAGGTCCTCCAGCTAACATGGGTGTTGGAGATGGTTCTTGTTCCTCATGTGATGAAGTTAGGAATTCATAGTTCCTCACTTGGGTGGAGTAGGGATTCCTCATTTCTCACCTGCTGTAGTTTGGAGTCTTTCTTGGCTTCTCATCCAGTGTTGGTGGTGACGAGTGTACGGCGGACCTTGGGTGTGTCAGGTCAGCGTCAGGTTAACATTGACCGCTAAGCACTGATTGTCACTCTAACAGTTGTTTCTTTCTTTTGAATTGAATTTGTCACTTTTGTATATCACTTGTGGGTTGATCGTCAATCTTTGCACTGTACTATTGGTGGGAGGATGTTGATAAATCCAGATGGGGAGAAGGAGATGGGGAAGGGGAGGGCACGACAGACCGGTCTGGCAGCTGTCTCCATCGCCGCTTCAGCGGGCAGCGCCGACCAGACTCGTCCACTCCCCATGAAGGCTGAAGACGATCCGTGTGTGTGCCAAAACGTGCAAACAACCGGGCTCCAGCTCTCCAGATTTTTGTATTCAGAGAGAATATCTTCGACCATGAATCGCTTCCAGCTTCTAAAATTACATTAGATTTATTCTCTTTGCAAGTCACTAACTTCCCTTTGTAAATATGTAAACTGCTCAAGATTTAGCAGTATATTTCTTCCCACAAACCATTATTATTTTTTTTACCATATGCTTCAAATACGCGTAACATGACATACGAGTACTGTATCAATAAAGTCTTAACATACGTCACTACTTTTCGCAATATACATCAGTTTATTATATATTATCTGACAATAAACCACAATGCCTTAATATACAATACTAAATGTCTAACACCAAACTAATATACAATTTACGCAATACACCAGTGAGAGAAAGGGATCCAATTCTACATCATTAAAAAACATACGACAGTTGAATGTATATTGTTTATCCCATCGACCCTATGATGACGATGGCTTAACTCCTTTCCCCTCCCCCATATGGTAAAATATTGCGGCAGCCAGGTAAAGGAGTCTCCAATCTCAGTCCAGGACTCGTTCACCATGGACCAGACGACAGCCACCAAGAAATAGAAGTGGCAAGAATATCTGGCCCCGACACCTTTACCAGACACATATGACCATTCTGCTGAGAACTTTCGTAATATCTGTGAGCGACTGAGGATATGATGCTTTTGTTGATTGCTGAAGGGAGTTTTTATTTTTCCATGACATGTTCACTGCTTTGGACATTCCCGTTGCTTTTTTTGTTTTGTTTTTAATGAATGATCGTTTGTCGTTCTTTGTTTTTGTGTCCATGTTTCTTATCTGGAAAGTTTTAAAAGGAAGCTAGATAGATTCATGAATGATAGAGAGTGGTAGTAACTCTCGACAGGCCATGCACAGGCCAACCGGTCTATTGCAGACTCCTTATTTTCTTATGTTCTTATGTTCTTATTGTTCCCGTGGTCTGAAAAGGTGTTGATGGTACAGGTGTTGATGGTGCAGGTGTTGATGGTACAGGTGTTGATGGTGCAGGTGTTGATGGTGCAGGTGTTGATGGTGCAGGTGTTGATGGTACGGGTGTTGATGGTATGGGTGTTGATGGTACAGGTGTTGATGCAGGTGTTGATGGTACAGGTATTGATGGTACAAGTGTTAATGCTGCAGGTGTTACTTTTAATGTTTACTGAACTGCTTCTTCTACTTACAGTTCTCCTTAAACAACACTAATATAAATATTTTCTTTCATCTCAGAGTCATCTAAACCGATTGCGGTGGCCAAGGACGTGTTCGTGGCCAACAACACAGCCTCTACTAGGGACGGTAAGTCATATAATACAAACGATATAGCTGGAGGGAAGAAAAACTTACGTGGGAATTAGAGAGGAAGAAGGTAATGGTAATATAACACACGGTCATAAACTGGCATCTGCACCACAACACAGGATGACAAATTATTACACATCATCTTGTGAAAAATACTAACCACTCTTTTATGCCGTGAGCTCATGTTACTGAAATATTTTATTGTGGTGTGAGTTTATAATACTGCCCTTGTTTATTACTCCGTTGAGTTACAACACCGAGGGATTCTGCTCTGTTGTAAATTTTCTGACTTTTGTTAATTTTGTAGGAGCTTTCTGTACCACCGTCAAGCTATCAGCGAGGCAAGATCTATGACGTGATACCGTGTTTTATATTGTTTACGCTTTAAGTGATGCAGTATTTTTTTTATCTTTCAAATCTTTAATTTTATTACATCTAGAAAGACATAATGGTAGATTAACATAGCAATAGCTAATGAGGTAAATGTTTAGAGATGTGGGAAGTTTAGACAAGAGATGTATTAGTCAACCTTAGACAAATTTCATAATATATATAAGCTGACAGACGTGTAATACTAAGCAGTAATGTTGACATGTACAAGGAATGAGGAACGGAATGAGAAATATGTTGTGTTTATGTGGGTTTCAGTGTTGAATAGATGAAAAAAAATGGATTGTTAAGTAAAGTGTTTGAGCAAAAATAGGTTTTAATATCTGGCGAAACATAAGTTGTAAATAAGAGATGATCCTGAAGGGATGGAGAAAGAGGAGGCAAGAGAGAACTTATTCGTGAAGGAGTTAGTTTTATTTCGGCTGTATATCGCTAAATTAAAGTTCGTTTGTAACTTACCCCAACTGTGAGAGTGGTTGTCTATGTAAACACGAACATAGTTTTAATGACATGCAAAGCGAAGAGAATTCCAGAGAAACTCGAGCGTCAGAAACTTAAGTTCGTCAATTATGTGTGACGATTTCTGATGTTTTTATTCAGAAACAAATTGTGGGTGGATTTTTATTACTGATACTATAATTTTCTGAAGAGGAAATGTCAGAAGTATCCTTTACGATGAAGGAGATATAATGAAAGATGTTTACTGTTGAAGAAACACTTACTGACTGAATTACATTAAATCGAAGTAAACATAGAACTGAATCATCTTAATTTTGCTGGGTCATTTTAGAGGAGTTTGGTCAGATATAATCATAAACACTATCATTATTTCCTCTTGAACACTCACAGAATAAAAGAGTCATTTGTGATCCTTCTTCAACGGCACTAACACAACAGCCAGAGAGCACAGAGATCACTCATGAGATGCGGGAAGCAAGAGTTCTAAGAGTAATAAAACAATAACGGAATTGAATGAGAGCAAGAGAGAGAGGGGGGGGGGGACTAGGAGAGAGTAAGTGAGACGGGGTGTGTAGAGGGAAGAAGAGAAGTGTTCTCATACAGTACTGTATGTGAGTGTAAGAGCTTTAGATAAGGAGAGGGCAACCTAAGGACAGTCAGTTTCTATGAGGGAAGAGAAGCCAAGTATGAATGCTAACAGTGTAGGGGAGATTGTTGAGTTGAGCGTGGGAGACAAGGTGCTGTATATGGTCATGTGGACTTAGGAGGGTCACAAGTGTTACTGTGAATTGATACACGAGGTGGATTCATAGTATTTGTGGCGTCGTGAATCAAACATTTTCTCAAGGGAGATGGTAGTGAGAGGTGGTAGAAAACAGAATTGTGAATATCTTGTTCAGACAATAAGTGAACTGCAGGGAACAGTACGAGCGGAAACGTAAAATAGAACACTTGAAAAGCTGACTTCATAATAATGTAGTGCCGTCCCCGGATATCTAATCAAATTTTAAACCCATAGATTCTCATCAAAACAATACAGCTTCGATATCGGTTGTCATCTTCTTGAGTATTGAGTGAAGCTACTAAACACAAACTAGAATCTTATCTACCCTCACCACTACCCCGTGTTACATGTGTTAAATCTACTACTACCAGAACTACCACCTCGGAAACCCAAATCAATACAACTACCACCACTAGCACTACCACTACCACCATACAGCTAGACCTACCACTATCACCATACCCCTAGACCTACCACTATCACCATACCCTCAGACCTACCACTATTACCATACCCCTAGACCTACCACTATCACCATACCCCCAGACCTACCACTATCACCATACCCCTAGACGTACCACTATCACCATACCCTCAGACCTACCACTATCACCATACCCCCAGGCCTACCACTATCACCATACAGCTAGACCTACCACTATCACCATACCCCTAGACCTACTACCACCAGCACTACCTCTCATAACACAGGCTTTTATGGTCACAGGTCATCTGCGGGTAGAAATCCTGGGGCCACGGGAGGTGTACATTGAAGAAGGCTCCTCCCTCACTCTAACATGCCTGGTGACGTCTACTTATGGCCCATCTACCCTGGTCTACTGGTACCATGACACCCGCCTCATCCAATACACTTCCTCTAGGGGCAGCATTAAACTCAAGGTAAGCGCCGTCACCCTGGGGAGTGATCAGGCATCTAGTCTAGTGTAACGACGTGGAATAAATTTAAGAAGCTTTTACATGTATATGCTGAGGAAACTGTGGTCCCAAAGGTGATATACTCTAGCCAGTCCTAAGGTAACATTTTTCACCTAACCTAACCTAACATAACCTAACTTAACTTAACCTAACCTAACTTAACCTAACCTAACCATACCATCATGCTTTTTTTGTTTCGTCAGGAAAGATCTCGGTCTCTGTAGTTACGATATAAATTTTGTCTTTACTGAAACTGCAAATTTGTACGACTTTAAACTATTTAATTTACCGACATATTAAGGTAATGTATATGAATGTATATGATGTATATCTTTAATAATATGTAAACTGATGAAATTGAGAGATGAAAGCTCGTTTTACATAATTATCATCAATTATCAATAACCATCAATGGTAGATGATTGGGTTTAATAACCACCGCTAACCACCACTAACCACCATTAACCACCGTTAACCACCATTAACCACCAATAATCACCACTAACAACCTCTAACCACTACTAATCACTACTAACCACCAACACAGATCGACCATGAGCGGGGGGAGACCATTGCCCGGCTGGTGGTGGAGACGGTGACGGCTGAGGACTCCGGGATGTACTCATGCGTCCCCTCTGGCTCACATCCCGCGTCCATCCGCGTCCACGTCCACCAAGGTACGTACACCTTCCCTCGTCCACTAAAGTACGTACACCCCCCTACGTCCACCACGGTACGTACACCCACACGTCCACCAGAGTAAGTACACACCCCCTACGTCCACCACGGTACATACACCCCCTACGCTCATCAAGGTACGTACACTCTCACGTTCAATAAGGTACGTACACATCCCCTCCGTCCACCACGATACGTACACCCCCACGTCCACCAAGGTACGTACACCCCTACGTCCACCAAGTTACGTACACCCTCATAAAAATGTCACCACACGGCCCTTGTTAACACGGTGTAATTCATTTCACTCATCAGCCCTAATTAGGTCGAGGTCAATTGATTCTGTTTAACCATCCTACACTAATGGTACATGTTATCCGTTGCAATTACTGTAACTCAAATATATAAGAGTGAATTCTTTAAATCAACTCAGTATCATACATCCCTCACATCAGAAACTCAGACGCCATAATTGTCATTTTCTTTCATTACTGTTCAGAGATATGGCACCCTGTACTTTGATGTGGTGTGACAGGGAAAAGTGGCCAGAACTTGTGACAATTCTGCTGGTTCGTGAAATCTACCTCAGTATCAGTGTAATATTAATAATAATTAACGGTTTATTTAAAGAGCATGGCAGCCGGAAGGCTGAAAATATAAAGTTACATAATTGCGGAATGGGTCTCTTGATTTCCAAATAATATACACGTAACATAAGTGATACAAATATGACATATAATAACTAGGTGAGGAGAAGCTCAAACTACAGGGCATTTCAACATAGTGACAGTGTGTGTGTTTGTGTGTGTGTGTGTGAATCGCCTTTTATATCCTTTTCACGCGACTAGCGGGAAGGATTTCTGGTGTGCTGGGAACTTAGTCAGAAATTAGTTGCCTTTTTTCAAGAGGTGAACTCAACCTTGGGGCTGAGATAGAAAAGACTGATTTTTTGTAATTACTGTACCAGGTTTTTATGTCCTACGAGGGAGTAAAAAGGGATGTTTTCTTTTTACAAATATTCTATTATTTTGATCTCGTAAAAGGTGACGTTAACTTTGAAGGGATAATATATTTCTTCTGCGTATGTAAATCAATTTCATAAATTTTCGCTCACTTCTGTAGTCTCTCAGGTAAGTAAAATTGATTCGTTTATAAATGAAGCATCCTAACACAATTAAAACACCACACACACACACACACACACACACACACACACACACACACACACACACACACACACGCCCACACACAAACACACACACACACACACACACACACACACACACACACACACACACACACACACACACACACACACACACACTGTATTCATGTGTATATATATGTGTGGGGGGGGAACAGTTGACACCTCATAATTCCAACCATAACATCCCAATTAACAGGAAATTTTATAACATTATAACATAAATTACTAAATTGTCAGTAGGTTTGGACTGTTGGCATAATAATTGGTATTAACCTACAATAATGTGACACTGCTCTCCTCATGTAGAGAGTAACTTAAGCTTCCTCTCAGAGTCTCCGGATTATTGAGTAACTGCTTATATAATATTAGATAGTTTGTATGCCGTTGAAATAGGTGATTAATTACATTGCTTATATCATCACATGCTGAATAGAGAACAAAAATGAACAAAATTGACAATTAATATTTACAACGCATTTTCATGATTAATGTAGCACCTTTTTATTGAATAATAATGATACAATATATTATCTGAAATAATTGTTTATTTAATGATATTTGTGTGTTACTCCAACAGCAAAACAAGAGGCGGCAATACACCAAGCAGGCATGAACCACACTAGTTCCTCCACCACAATCACCCCTGTTTCCTTCCTTCCTAACCTCCTCCTTCACCTTCCTTTCCTTCTCTGCCTTCCATACCTCCACGTACCTGCATTCTACTCTCTCAATAACCCCACCAATACTTTACTCTTCCTTCTCTTCTATTCCATTTCTCTATTTCACTTCCCAGATACGTAGCGTCTCTCGTATAACGTGTTCACATTTTGTTCAAATATTTTTATTATCTTCCCGTCTGTGTTATGTTTTACCACCATGTGCCTCAAAAGCTCACTATTTATCGTCTGTTTTTCTTTGTCTTTTTTTTTATTTTCTTTTTTTTCTTCAGTTTCTTTTAGTTCCTTTGCTGCTTCCCACCTTCACACTCATCTTTCCTCTTACACCCACTTGAGTTTGTGCATTTTCTTTACCTTCGTCTTTTCTTTTTTTGCTTGTTTCTCTCCCTTTCCCCTTAATTAGCATTTCTTCCTGCCACATCTGGTCTGTTTACCTTCATTCCTCCTAAACTTCAAATAACCCGAGGCTGATGTGAGAGGCAAGGGACACAAGAAGGAGATTCAGTGACTTTGTTTTCATGTTTAGTAAGTTTTTTGATGAGTTACAATTGAAACCTTCGAGTGATTCATACTTTGGAATTGTGTGGTTAAGAAGAAGTGGATGGAAGGGAAATAAGATTTAGGCAGCAAATACGAGTTTCGAATAATTATCAAAATACACCTAAGTTATTGGTTATGATCTACGAGAATATTGGCTACCTTAAAGGAAATTGAAAGAGCATGAGTTACAGGCTCGTAGAATTTAAGGAGCACCTCTCTCTCTCTCTCTCTCTCTTTCTCTCTCTCTGTCTCTCTCTCTTATCAAAAGATGAGAAAACACTGAAGTTATCACAGAAACAATCAAAACTTCATTTGGGTTAAAATTTTGATACCTGAAACATATTTCTTTTCAATTGATGCACAGGAGTTGTCCATCATTTTGCCAATTAAAGTATTCACCTCATCTTTGTTTTCTCTAAGAAAAAAGTCACAGTGTTCAATTAAACGTCTACGGGCGAAAGTGTCTCTACTGTACTTCATATCGACATTAGAACAAGATTTATTTTCCATCATAAGAATCTCGCGCATGTATCACGACTTACGAAAGGAAAATCAGAAAAAAATTAAAAAAAAATCCTTGAGTTCAGGCCACTGGTAGTTGACGAAGCTGATAAATAACAACACAAAGCAGTGAAGGAAAAAAAAATCAGAAAGTTTTTCCTCCAAACAGCGAGGATTCAGAAACGCCGAAGGAGAAATATTTAACTACAACACTTGTCAGCACGAGCGTTCACTGATATAATATAATAACAACAAAAGAACACAGCGAAAAAAGGCTGATAAGAGCTGGATATCTGAAATAAAGAAACCACAAGAAAAATGGAGAAAGGTTTTAAGACGAAACACCGGAAGGGAAACACGATACAGGAGATGGGAAATACAATTAAAAGAAGAGTTGAAAATAACAAAGTATAAGAAATACACCTGACAAGGAAAGAACTGCACAATGAGGCTGACTTACACTCACTGATTGGCCCACGTCTGTATGATGACCAAAGCCCTCTAATGTTGTTTCTTCTTTCCTTCTCGTTAAAACAAACAAACATCCTCGGAATTAAATGTCTGAGTTGTTTCCCTTTTCCCGTGTGATTTTATCAAGATATATATATATATATATATATATATATATATATATATATATATATATATATATATATATATATATATATATATATATATATATACGAGTAGAGTATACATAGTATATGTTAATTCATTACATGTCTATAAATAAACTTAGAATTGGCAACATCAGACAGGTTTGTATACGTAACTCTGTGCAGTGAGGAACACCTTATTACATTATTTTTTTCAGAATATTCTACTAGTGAGTTTTTGGCCTCTGGGGACAATGGTTGCACAGCTAGTCCTCAAACATGTTGAATAAGTTTCAGAGTATATTCTACAATGTATATTTTGTAAAAGTTATTATTTACGGTCAAAGCTGTTGTTATTATGGCCATTTTGGTCACTAAAGTTATAGTACTTCAGACATCTACTAAATTTGTCTAGGGGTACATTATATAAATATATTCACTGCACAGTTTACGAAAAATTTCAGTGTGTAATAATCGTGGTTGTAAGATGCAGAGGTGATGGTGATGAAATGTGAGGTAGGTGTAGACTAAGTGTATTCAACCTTATATCTATATTTGTTATAATGATCATGTTTTATAAGGTTCATTAAAAAATAAAGTGACAAGTATTATATTGTTTTTCTTTATCTTTAACATACTAAAATAAGTAAACGCACATTCAATCAAAGGTAATAAATAAATCTCTAACTAGAAATGTACTCATTAATGCATGAAAGTAACATTATACATTTATCAAAATTTTCTCTGTTAATACACCAAGAAATATATAATAATAAATTACAGTCCATTTAAAAGGATTAGAGCTACTGGTGAATTTTGTTACAACATATAATAATGAATTTAGTAATACAACTGTACCAAATGATTACAAGTGATCTTCTCGATTTTAGATATTTATCATGGAAAAAACACATCAATATGGGCTCCCTTTGTGGCTCTGTAAACATCATTGTGGTATTTTGTTTCTCTCTTTATATTTGCTGCCCAAAATCACACAGAACCTTTTGAACAACGTTTTGTATCCTGTTCTTCATATGTTCCAAAATTGTTGATATTGGTGGTGCAAAGATTTAATTTCTGACATATCTGTACCTCCAAAGGAATAGATCAAAGGAGGGTGAGGTCAGGTGAACGATCCCCCACGCCCCATCCAACGATTAGACAAGCGTTCATTGTATTTTCTTAGCCTATAAAACAAAGGTCAGGCAGAGATTAGTGAGCTTCGCAATCACATTACACAACTTCCATCAGAGGGAAACTTTGACAGAGGGAGAGTGTGTGTGTGTGTGTGTGTGGTGTGACAAAAAAGAGAGAAAGGGAGAGAAAATAAAGAGAGAGAGAGAGAGAGAGAGAGAGAGAGAGAGAGAGAGAGAGAGAGAGAGAGAGAGAGAGAGATGAACGTGAAGAAAGACATTAAGAACAGTAATTATCACACACTCACACACACTACTACTACTACTACTACTACTTTGCTGTCACTCGGAATCGAGGATGACGACCATCCAGCTATGATACAATGATACGAGTTATTAAGGATGTCACCTAGGTTGGTGATCTTCCGATTTTAGATACTTATTAAGAAAAGAAAGTCACTATGGGCTCCTTTTGTGGCTCTGTAAACATCATTGTGGTGTTCTGTTCCCTCTTTATATTTTTGCACAATATCATACAGAACCTTTTGAACAACGTCATCTACCCTGTTCTTCAAATTTTCCAAAGTTGTTGACATTGGTGGTACAAAGATTTAATTTCTGACATACCTGTACCTCCAAAGGAATAAGTCAAAGGGGGGTGAGGTTAGGTGAACGAGCCCCCACGCCCCATCCAACGATTGGGCAAGCGTTCTGAGGTGCCAAAGAGGCCGATATGGGACCGGCAGGGTCGATCACAGATGTTGCATATGTGGGGGATTACATCTAGTGTGGGAGGGGCGGATGCAGCGTCTTTCCGGCGTTGACGCTTATCTGCTAGGTTATGCAGTCGGGCTAAATCGAAAGTATTGACACCTTCTTGTGTGGTGATCTTCCAAGCGTTACGGTGTGGAGTAAGCATCTCCCAGGTAAGGGAGTCGATTTGGCACTTTTGCAGGTTTGTCTTTAGACTATCCTTATACCTTTTCAGTTTCTCCCCAGCGGTACGTTTACTATTCGTTAGGTAACTATAAAGTAGCTGCTTTGGCAGTCTACTGTTGTCCATGCGGGTAACATGGCCAGTCCAGCGCAGTTGCTCGTGGTGTCAGCAAGAATACTGGCATTTGTTCTCTTGTCTTCCCAGTGAACTCGGAGGATGGGATGTAGATTACATTGGTGAAAGTTTTCAAGTGCCATGAGGTGTCTCCTGTATGTGACCCATGTCTCGCTGCCATATTGCAGGGTGGGGAGGACCACTGCTCGATATATGTGTAACTTTGAATATAGTTTCAGCTCCCTACAGCTGAAGACACGAATTCGGCGTCTGCCAAATGCTTGAGAAGTACATCTGATCCGATACAGAATCTCTTCATCGATGGACAGATGGGAGCCGAGATACCAAAAGTGGGTTAAATTAGAGAGGGTAGTACCGTTAAGCTGGATGGATGGTGAAGGTGTGGCTGAACCAGGGGCAGGCTGAAAAAGAATCTGAGTCTTACGTACATTCACCTCAACGCCGAAGTGTGCATACGCATCTGTGTAGATGTTCAGGATCTCCTGTAAGTCGTGTTCAGTGTGAGCGACAAGGGTGAGGTCGCCTGCAAACTGAAGTTCAGTAATGGAAGCAGCCGACACCTTTGTTCCTGCCTGGAGTCGTGTTATGTTGAAAAGACCCTTCATCTAGTATTAGATGTCCACCCCACAGGCTAAATTGGCGCTGGCATGAGTAAGGAGGACAGCCAAGAAAATGGAAAAGAGAGTTGGTGCCAGTACGCACCCTTGTTTAACCCCCGTTTGGGTGGGGAAGAACTCAGACTGGGTGCCATTGTGCAGGACACTGCCGTTCATGCCATCGTGGAGTTGCCTCACAATGGCGATGAATATTGGTGGGCAACCAAAACGGCTGAGGGTCCACCAGACGGCTTCCCTGTTGACCGAGTCGAAGGCCTTGGTTAGTTAGATGAAAGCCATGTACAGGTCACGACGCTGTTCTCCGCACTTTTCCTGTATCTGACGGGCAGCAAAGATCATGTCAGTGGTGCCATGTGATAGTCTAAAGCCACGTTGAGATTCTGGGAGGAAGTTTTCCGCCTCAGAAAGAAGTCTGTTGAGGAGGACTCCGGCGACAATCTTCCCAGCTACGGACAGCAGCGAGATTCCACCGTTGTTGCCACAGTCTGACCGGTCTCCCTTGTTCTTATAAATATTGACGATGGCGGTGTCTTTAAGAATTTTGGGAATTTACTCCCTTTCCCATATACTCTCCAGAGGTCCTCCTGCTTTATGCACCCCCTGAGGCTTTGTTTTTTAATCTGTTTGATGGCAGTAGCAACCTCTTTCAGGGATGGAGGATAGCTGAGGTGGGTTAGCTCTGGATGTTGAGAGACCTGCTGGGTAGTCAGGACATCCACATCGGTGTGTTGGTTGAGCAGTGAATGATAGTGCTCTTTTCAGTGCTGAGGGAGGCCTTCATCGTCTTTAATTATGGAGTTACCGTCGGATGAGAGGAGGGGACACTGCCACGAGAGAGTAGCCCTTAAAATGTTTTAGTGGAATTAAAAAAATCGCGCATTTTGTGCAGATCTGCAAATTTTTGTATTTCACATTCTTTAGTTTTAAACCAGTCGTTCTTTACATTGCGAAGTCCCACTGGGCAGCCGTTTTCTTCTTGCTGAAGGTATCAGCTTTGGTCCGACACTGAGCGTTATTCTGCCAGTCAGTTAAAGCAGCATGTTTATCGTCGACGGGTACATTGATTGCCGGGTCATTTTCATCAAACCAGTCATGGTGTATTCTTTCGATCTGGCCGAGGGTCTCTCTGCAGGTTTTTGTCATGACAGTGTCGAGAATATCCCATTGGGCACAGGAATTTGGGTTGTTTGTTGTTGGGTTGTTTATCAGCCCATGTTCGAGCTGCTCTCTGAAAGCATCTGGTACCGCTGGATCCTCGAGACGCTTACTGTTAAAACCTCTTCTGAAGGCTTGCTGCCTTTGTTGTATTGGGGCGACGTGAATTGACAGCTTGGCTCTGACGAGCCGATGATCAGTGTCGCAGTGGTCTGAGCCACACATGGCACGGGTGAATAGGACATCTGGGCGATCATGCAGCTCGTTAACACCCTGAGTTAACGAGCTGCATGACCCAGTGTTAACGCATAGTCCGAGAAGATCGGACAACTCGCCAACTGCACTGGCTAACCATTGCCTCGGAATACGATCTGTAAATCGATTAACATCCAGGTCCCCAATTACTACTAGGTAGACAGAGGCAAATGGCGTAAAGAAAGTTGCCCAAAGTTTTACCCTGCCCGGGGATCGAACCCGGGTCCGCAAGCTTGCGAGGCGAGCATGCTGACCATTACACCACAGGTCGCCATGACACACACACACACACACAAACACACACACACACACACACATACACACACACACATGCTATCTCCCTCTCTCTCTATCATCGTCATCCTCAAGAGTGTTTTATAAGCCCCCCCAAGTGAGTTTGTCTGACAAGCGAAATATTACTGGACGTTTCTCAGTCTGATCTTATGCTGTTGTGTTATGGAATAGTCACTAAAACAAATACCTGTATGTCTCCTGAGAAATGGTATGACATGTTATTACTTCTATATAGTATTTTCAAACCGATCAATTTTTACATCTAATTTAGAGTGAAAATGATGAGTAGAGGGACATGATAATGGGGTAAAATACTGAGGGGGAAGAAACATAAGACAGACACACATATACACCAGAGGGACCCAAGTGAACAGTATCTTAACGAGCCATCATCCTCAATCACCGTCACCTCATAAGCCTTCAAGTGAGCCTGTCTGACGAGGGAAATATTACTGAAGGTTC